GCAGGGTTGGGGGGGACACGGGGCGCTCCCCTCTCCTGCCCCCGCCGAGCCTGGAGGCTCTCCCTGCCGGGTCCAGCTCGCTGCCCGCGCTGCTCGTCCCGCCGCGTGCAGCTTCAGCTGGGAGCAGGCAGGCATTGAGGACGGCGGCGCGAGGGAGCCGGGGGGAGACAAAAGAGGGAGAGTCCTCCAGCCCTTTGTCCTCCCTTCGTTGCGCTGCCCCCATCTCTCTTCAGCCCCTTTCGCGGAGGCGTACTGGGATGGAGAAAAATGCTCATGTGGCCCTACGATGGAGGGGATGGATACAGGGGTGGCTTTGCCGTCGTTACCGGTAATGCAGCTGGTACGGGGAAAAGAGTGGAACAGCACTGGCTGCTCGTCCTGCGGCAGGGGGGGGGGGGTTCGGGATCCGGGTGGATAACGCTTGTCCACAGGCAGTGGAAGGGCTTGACACAAGGGATGTGCCAGTACACAGGGCAAAGGCGGTAAATTTCTGCCCTCAAGGGACAGGGATCCTGAAGGTTTTATAAGAGGGCAAAGAAATAAATGCAATGCTTAATGCAACGGGAAAGCGTTAAGTGAGCAGAACAGTTATTTTTGAGACTTTGCTGTGTGCCTTTAAAAAAAGTGAACTGAGTGGGAAATTACAGAACTGCAGCAATTTGCAAACCACTTGTGTGAATATTTGCTTTAAAAAAAAGCGAATTGTGCTTAAGACGAGTGGAAGATCTTTACCTGGAGGCAAACTTGGTTCTGATATGAAGGGCAAAGCAAAAGGATTCACTGCTACTCCTAATTGCTCTTGCTATTTTCAAGGTTCTGGATGTAAGAAGTATGAATGACTGGCAGAGGAAAAGCCCTCTAGACTGGGAAACATATGTGAACAAAATGGTGAAAGTTGCTGCAATTGAGAAACATGAATATGAAGGATGGGTCTTAACAATTGATCCAGTTTCTGCCAGGTAAGCATGAAAGCTTTTGTTTCTGTAAAGCTAAGGGAAAAGAAGTTTTTCAGGAAGAGAAAAGATCCCAGACTTATTTGCAGCAAAAACTGCATGTTGAGACTGTGTCCCCTGTTTTTTTTAATTGGCAAGGCCTAAGAGAAAGCAATACTGTAGTTAATGAGGCCCGTTCACCAAAATCCACTTTAACCTCAAAGGACTGCTAAGTTTGGGGAATGGGTGATGTCCGGGTTCATGCTGACTTTATGCTATACCTCATGACTTGAGGTTAGTACTTTAAATTATATCCACGTGTTTAGGAGTACTTTTAGTAATATACCAAGCCCTGCTTCACAAAGAGAGCATGAATGCATTTAGGAATGCAGGAATGTTTTTAATGCTTTAGGTGTTGAAATCCTTATCCTCTGTCTAGAGTTTTCACATCGATGCCCTGCTTTCTCATCCAGCTGGACACCCATAGGGGTGTAGTGGCTGCTTTGGAGATGAAGCAGGGAAAATCAGCAAGGGCATTGGACAGAAAAGTGGTACTACAGGTCTCTAGTATCTCAAGTGATTTGAAAACAGGGTTTGAAAGGCAGCACACATCAGGAAATAGGCAGAAGTTTGGCTCCTTGCTGCCAGAGCTTTTTCATACCTTTTTGGTTGCAAGCTTGTCCCATGTGAGCACAAGATGGAGGCTAGAAACCAAAACATCTGATGTGTTCTGATGTGTTTCAGAAGCACTGGTTTCTGCTTCAACTCTGGAGTAGCTCCAGTACTCTAATCTTCTCTTGGAGCTGCTTATCATTTTGGTGGGAAAGTTGCACACAGCTGTGAGTCTGGGGGTGGTACAGGCTAAAATCAAGGCATATTTCATTGCACATTTCCCAGAAAGTCATTATTTCCACAAGTGATGGCAAAGTGCTGGCATCAAATACCGGAATTTTTCTTCCTACAAGAGGAAGAAAATTTTTTCTGATCCTCTTTGTTGACATATGAAGAAGAGATCCTAGAAATACAACAAGCTGCATTCCTACCTGTAGTTTAGGACTTCTGGGATGCAAGTGCCATTGGGGGAAGGCTGCTACAGGCTGCTACAACATGAGTTTGATGCTGCTGTGGTGTGTTCCTGTAATACTCAAGCTATAGTTTTCAGTTAAGAAACTAGTAACACTCATTTAAAAAAATTAGTAATTATTAATATTTAATTATTGCTGATTTACCGTTAAAAAGTTTTGATGTTGTTAGCTGCCACTATTGCCTTCAGCATTCAAAGTGTTGAATGTAAAAAGGTATTATTGGTTTTGAATGTTGGAAGACTTAAGGTTCTTCAGCAAGGTTGGGAATGCTGCACAAAAATATTTAGATTCCCAGCCCTGATTTCAATGTACGCTTTGCTTTTTTTAAAGTAATGTTCTGCCTGATAAGTTTCAAATTCAAGGCCAGAAGTTACCCACAAAGCCCCACACTTTAAGTATTTTAAGGGTACAGCAGCATGCTTTTCAAGAAAAATGCTGGGTACTTGATATTGCGTAAATATCTGGGTATTACACACTGATGCTAATCAGCACTCATCTCCAAGAATCTTATCCTGTGTTTCGCGGTCTTCAGTTAAGCACAGTCACTCTTACATCCTTCTGTCCTTGGCAGTATTGTCCTTGCAACATTCCTGGAGAATGAAAAAGTGTCCATATCAGTTGTCTTGGGCCATGCTGTCCAGGAAGTTGAAATACTGAAAGAAGGGGACCATGAAACAAAGCAACGGCTTTCTTGCCTATTTGCACCTGAAGAAAGCAAAGCCTACACCCCAGAGGAACTTGAAAAGAGGAAGAATGACTTGAAGACCTGGCTAGAAACAAACCACATCCCTGTAACAGAGCAAGGTGAATTGGGAAGAACACTATGCATGGCAGGGGTATTAACTATTGACCCACCATATGGCCCAGAAGAGTGCAGCAGTTCCAATGAGATTATTCTGTCTCGGGTTCAAGGCTTGATACAGGGCTATCTTGAAAACCAACAGTAATGTCTGCTGTTTAAAGCAGTTGTCTTTAGGAATGGGTTTACCTGCCCTGTTATAGCATCTGTCCTGCATATCAATATTCACTATTTGCAGAAATGCTGGGTTTAGGTACTTTTGTCTGTTTTTTGTATGTTAAGAAAGGGATAAAACAAGTGGTATAAACTAAAAGCATGAAGCATTTTCTGTGCACTCTTATTAAAAGCAAGCCATTGGATAATGGTGATGTATTAAACTGATCTATCAGTTTACTATATCAGTATTAAGCTGATCTTTCAGTTTAATAAGTATTTTTTGTAACAGCATTATGAAAGATATATGATGAATTTAAACTGTGTTGTCCTCTGCCTTTAAAATTAATTTAATTTATTGTCTAGGGGTGTAGACATCTTTATTTGAACTGCTTACCAAAATTTTTTTTTTCCAGAAAGAGAATTGCGACATTTGGACTTCCCAAACCAGATGAAAAAACTGTTCAGAAAGCTTTTTTGGTTTTTTTCAATACAATCGTTCTCCTGTTTAACAAAATAAATTATAACATGGATCTGTAATGTGAGTTTATATAAAAACCCATCTATTATAATGTGTGTCCAAGTCTGTAAAATTGTTAGGGAAAAGTAGCAGGCAAATAGTAGGTTTTAAAAACATTTGCTATCTATATTTGTTATTTTAGAGCAGCGGTAATTTTTTTGAACAACCATTTTATTTTTAACTGTTTTTGAACTTTTTCCTTAGATAATTTCTTGCAATTCAGTAAGTATGTGTTTCTTAATACTTTGTTTCTAGCTTATGGCAACACACAATGCAAGAATCATTATGTGATTATTAATGCAGTCAGGAGCTGTTAGAGCCCTCATTTATCTCTTAGTGTATCGATTTGTTCTGTCTTATTACGAGATAGCACCAAAACATTTTAATGTGTTCAAACGCATTTGAAAAGTCTGTCTAACCCAGTTAATAAAAGGCCCTCTTCATTCGTGCTGTGGTTTATTTAAAATTACTGCAGATCACTTGGGTGCCTGCTGATTTTTCTTAAAAATCCTCTACTTCACATACAAGCATGTGTGTCCCTGAAAAGGTTGGTGCTGAGGCATAAATGCTTCAGCTGCCTGACTGGATGAGGGGATCGACCAGTGCCTGAACTCTGGGGCACACAAGTCTAGTTGGGGTGTGTTCAGCGTGACAGCTAGCGTCAGGTCAAACTCTGCTCAAGAGTTAAAAACGTTACAAGGAGGTAACGCCTCCTACCTCCTCGC